TTTCACCTATTCAATTAAATATTTTACTGGAGGTTCTAGCAAGTGTAGTAAGACAAGATCAAGTTAAAAAAAGGGGCATACAGAGCTGATAAGTAAATAAAATTGTCTCTGTTTGCAGATGACATGATTGACTATGTAGCCTCTATAAAAAAGCTATAAGAGGGGTGCCTTGGTGGCTCAATCAGTTAAGTGTCTGCCTTCGGCTCAGGTCATGATCCCAGGGTCCTGGGATTGGGCCCCCCATTGGGTTCGGGGTCCTTGCTCGGTGGGGAGCTTGCTTCTCTCACTCCTTCTTTCTCTGCCTGCCGCTCCCCCTGCTTGTGCTCTCTCTCTGTCAAATAAATAAATAAAATCTTTAAAAAAATTAAAAAAGGGGGCACCTGGGTGGCTCAGTCGTTAAGTGTCTGCCTTCAGCTCAGGTCATGATCCCAGGGTCCTGGGATCGAGCCCCACATCGGACACCTGCTCAGCAGGGAGTCTGCTTCTCCATCTCCTCTGCCTCTCCCCTCATGCTCATGCTCTCTCTCTCTCTCTCGCATGCGTGCATTCCCTCTCTCTCAAATAAATAAATAATCTTTTTGGGGCGCCTGGGTGGCTCAGTCAGTTAAGTGTCTGCCTTCGGCTCAGGTCATGAACTCAGGGTCCTCGGATCAAGTCCCGCATCGGGCTCTCTGCTCAGCGGGGATTCTGCTTCTCCCTCTGTGCTCTCTCTCTCTCTCACAAGCAGGGGATAATAATGAAAGGATCAATTAATCCTAATTATTTACACCCCTAATAACAGAGCTTCAAAATACATGAAGCAAAAGTAGAATTACAAGGCGAAAAAGACAAATCCATAATTCCAGTTGGAGATGTGAATACCCACCTCCCAATAAATGATAGAATAAGTAGGCAGAAAATCAGCAAGGATACAGTAGAAATGAACAGCATAATCAAATAGAAAAGATTGACATTTATAGAACATTCTCTCCAACAATAGCAGAATACATATTCTTCTCAAGTACACATAAAATATTTGCCAAGATTGACCATATTCTAAGCCATAATAAGCCTCATTAAATTTGAAAGGATTCAAGTCACACAATGTTCTCTAACCACAATGAAATTAAATTAGAAATCATAACACAAAGATATCTAGAAAAATACCCCAATATTTGGAAACTAAATAACTCACTTGTAAATAACCCATGGGTCAACGAAGAAATCAACAGGGAAATTAGAATGCATTTTGAATTGAATGAAAATGAAAATGTAAGTATCAAAATTTGTGGGATGTCATTAAAGGATTACTTAAGGGGAAATTTATAGCACTAAATGCCTATATTAGAAAAGAAGAAGGGGCACCTGGATGGCTCAATCGGTTAAGCATCCAACTCTTGATTTCAGCTCAGGTCATGATCTCAGGGTTGTGAGACTGAGTCC